CAAACGTAGTATGGATATTATATGTAGCGATTATGGTGCATGTCATAATGTAAATATCTCAAATTATATACCAAATGTGTACTGTAGTAGTACATATAAATGCATTATATTGTACTAATATAATACATTGTACTATCCTTGTAGTATATATATTTCAACGTATATAGTATATAATGTAGAAAATGCTTAGTAGGGTATAGTGTAATAAGCGCTGAGCAATACCAGACCAAGTTACAAAGGCATTTTCGCCTCCTGTGTACATATGCCTATTAGACAGTTTAAGAAGGCCGCGTCTCCCGGATGTCTGTGCTTCTTCAGTGCATTTCTGTCTTCCATAAGCTTCTTGACTTATGCGAAACCTTGTTCCTAATCAGCTGTTTTTCAGTAATGCATAGTTTAAGAGCAAAGCCCATCGATGCGATAAAGGATGGTCAAGAAATCAAGTAGTATTTGACCGCGATGACTCCTTAAGCATGTCATATCAAAAGGGCTACGCCTGAAAGATTGAATTCCGTATTCTGATCGAAAGAATTCGATGTCCGATGCAAGCGATGGAATTCCGATTCTCTCAAAGGACTGCTGGCGCGTCATTTAAAGATATCATAGATTACGAGCCGTTCCTTCTTCAGACCGAAAGAAAAGAAATGCGATCGTTTGAACATGCGATCACGATGCAACGGGGACACTCCAAAAGCTGAACTTGGCAATGCAACATGAAAAGCGGTAATGGGTCGATCGGGAGTCACACGGCTAGAGTGCTAGATACTGCCGATATTGACTTGCGTTGGAATGCAGTCCATGGTGCTTGTGTAGTTGTTGGAGAATCATTGAAAATTTTTCCTTCCTTTGCTAAATAAGCAATGCCAAAAAAGTGTCTGGTTGTCAAAATAAATGAATTAGTGTATGAGGAAATGATTGAATATATAGTATTTTGCATGTCACTGTTATTGACTCTCTACTGGCTTTGAGTGACACGTTAGAAGGCCAGATGAATGCGCTCTCGAATAGTCATCCAAATTGCGATCGCTTTGGCTCACTAAAACGGAGTTGAACCGAGGAGTCAAACTGAAAAGCAGTTTAAGTATTTTTTCATTGAATAACGATTGTATTATGTGATTGTCATGCATTTTTTTTGCACTGAATATCAGATAAGCATCGAATGCAACTATGCTGAATTGTCGACATCAGCTCCACTCTCAAAAATCTAATTTAGCACTTCTGAATGATTTCCATCTATCCGTCCATTTTAAAGGCTAGCTGTTCCTTTCTGAACATAGAGGAAGTATTTTTTAAAAAATTGATCCTTTTCCCATGGTGATATTAGTATAATGGAGCTCTCCGGCCATCGGTCTACCCATTCGCCACTTTCCACATGACTTCGTCATACCAGTACTAGCGAATTTCTCCTTTTGCGTACTGCCTGTGAAACCTTTCTACTGGCATTCGAACCGGAAATGCACGTAACGTGTTAACATATGTGACCATTAAATTTACTCATGCGAAAGATGAGAGTAAATGATGCGCTTTGAACATTTCATACTCCATCCTTCAAGTCTATTTAATATGGCTCATAATGACTGCGAGGTGACTCTAATAAACACTGTGACACGACATGCATCTCGTACTTCAGTTGCTCAAATGCCATGGGACCGTTGCTCGTTCACCTGCCACCCCTCTCCTAGCTCAGAAAATTACGAGAAACGAACCAGTGCAGTATGCTGGGGAAATCTGGTCTTGTAGGAATTATGCACCAGCGGATCGTATATCTATTAACAAACGCCGTGATGATGCTGGTGCATTTTCGGTTTGATGTGAAACTTCTTTGGATTAAAATCGAAGGTGAAATTAAACCGAACGCGCTTTGGTGTCATTTGTAGATATGGTCATCGTTTAGACATTGCCAACTTGTGAAGTTGTAGGACTTGTTTGTTTTTTTGGTTGTTTTTTAGTTTCCTGAATATGGCGATATTTCTTGTTTCTTGGTTTGTTATATGGGAGTTGAAGATGCGTACGGGAGTTGCTTGGCGTTGAAACTTTTGTTCGACAAGTGAAGCCCCTTTAGTTATTCTGTTAATTTTAGTCGATATACCGGCGAGACTTGGCGACATTCGATCGTTGGCGTTTTGTTGTGACCGCTGGTGAGAGACGATCTGTTGTGTAGCACGGGGCTGGAACACTTCTTCGAGTTGGATTCGAGATCATTTTCGTCGCTGCTGCGGTCACGTCGCACGTCACTTGTGAAGCCTGGATAATTGTGTACGCACATTAATAGTTGTATGACATTTTTGTTTTATTTTGTGACGTCATTATATGGATCTAAGGTTTCAGGAAGTGTTCCCGGAAAGAACTGTTGTGCGGCATCGAACCTCTGTCCAAATGGTTTCTACGCAGGAGGCAGCCGATGTCAGAAGTCCGTTTAACAACAAGTTGTGTTCTCAGCCAACCGTTCGCTGTCGCGATCGTTCCGAAGCTCCTGTCTGCAAGCTGTCTGTGGACCTGATAAAAACTTATAAATATATCAACGACGTATGTTTGACTTAGTGTCTTTTTCTGTTAACTCCAGATTATCGAGGACGGGCAGAAACGATGGAATGACTAGTTTTTTCTGGTTTAAAAAGCTATGCATTTTGCCGATTTTGTCATTTTTGATTTTAATTCGGTTCCGTTGTACTAGATTGTTTATGCAAGCGGTATATTGGTCGTCTTTCGTCCTTCCAAGTACCATTTTATGGGTAAAGAAACAGGAGATTAAACACTGTAACTTTGACGTAGCTGCACACACATTGCCTAAAAAAAAATTAGGCAGCTCATCGCATGGTACTCAGTGCTGCTTCATAATGCTCTGGGCAAAGAAAGGGCAACTAATAGTGTTCAGTAATGAAAGTGGAGCAGAGGTCAACGTCCGAACGAGACCGATTTGCTGCGTGACCATCAGCTTTTTCATTAAAATGACTGGTTTCCTTCTCTTTCAGGTCTATTACGCAGATAAGAAGAAGCGCAGTCATCAGCTGAAAACTGACGAGGCTTTGGCGAAGAAGGGCCGAGGATTGAACAACGATGGCTATGATGACGAAAACTATGATTATGTCATTAAGAGGGGCGACAAGCTGTACGAGCGATACGAAATTGAGTCGTTGATCGGAAAAGGATCTTTTGGACAGGTACTGAACCCACTGGCTTCCGCTTTTTGGTCTCTTGTGCGCAGCTGGGACGTTTTAGGTGGTCAAAGCGTATGATCTGGTGGACAAGTGTCCGGTGGCCGTAAAGGTGATCAAAAACAAGAAACCGTTTCTCAATCAGGCGCAGATAGAAGTGCGACTTCTTGAATTGATGAACCAGCACGATGTCGACTCGCGTTACTACATAGGTAATTATTAAACAGCTTTTCTTTTCTGTACTCGTATATTACCGCTTTTGTTATCTGTTCCAGTTAGGCTGAAGTGTCATTTCATGTGGCGGAGCCATTTGTGCCTCGTGTTCGAACTGCTGTCGTACAACCTTTACGATCTGTTGCGAAACACCAACTTCAGAGGGGTGTCGTTGAACTTGACTAGAAAATTTGCACAGCAGGTAAAGTAAAACTCCGCTTGTAGTAGTTAACTTATCTCTTGAATTATGGAAGCGATTCGTTCCGTTTAAGCAGTTGATGAGGTTAAAATCTTCGTTCATCTTCGGTTGAAAATTTTTGGAAATCTTCAGTTGAAAATCCAGAATGAAATTTTCATTAATTTGACTGTAAAATGTTAGATATTTTTAACATCTAACTTTTTCTAGCTTCCACATAACAACCACTCGATATTTTTTCATGCACGTTAGATCATTGTAGAACTGTAAATTTTCTTATGGTAATTACTGATTACTTGACTGCGTTTGAGTGTTAAGTCAAACGTTAACATTTTACGACAGTTACCGTACTTACAGTTATTTTAAACTCGAGAACGTACGGAAGCAAGGAATTAATGTCATTATTAAAGCTTTGTTTACTGTACGTACAATAATCGCACAGACAGGAGCAGATTTGCGTTAGAAGTGGAATTGTTCATTGTACTTTGCAGCAAACGGTGCCATACAGTTTGACCGTTGAAAAGTTAAGAATCGTGTGGATGCACACACAAACAAGAAACTTTCTGCTTATGCAAACGAATCATAGTGATGGCCACAACAAACATCTTGAAGACTGAGGTAGGTAAATGGCTTCACACTTTCCATGTGCTGCGTACTGTTTGTTACTCTGCGTTCGTTGCACACAAAGCGGACGCTTTGATGGTGATTTGCTCTTCGTTGCAGCAGTAGTTCGTAAATCGATGGACGTATATATTGTATTCATAAATAGCCTCTCATTCCTTGACGATGACCATGGTATATTGGTTTGATACGTCAGATTCTATTCTTGCCATTATGCCAACCATGGAATCAAAATACGCGTTTGCTTCATATTATATTCCTGCGTTGGTATTCTACTGAATCAGCGTTAGGACAGTAGCAACTGACTGATCCTTCTTCGCAGTTAGTGAGAACATTATTGCCTAGTTTCGTCGATGCCAACCCTCGGCTGCCTTTTGCAATTTGTTGGCGTAGGCATTCATATCCGTTAGATCATCCATTTTTGTTGCTTGCTGTCCCTTGAATACCAGTCCGACCATGCTTAAGTCTGCCACTTATCCATCAGTCATACGTTGTAGTCCGCGGTAATCCGATTTGAACTGCATGCAGGGAACGGGAGACCGTTTTTTGTTTGTGCTTTCCTTTTCTTTCAGACAGAAACAGCATTGCGCGATTGAACTTCCCAGCGTGATGGCCTTTCAGGAGATGAATAACTACTCGTTTTTAATCCTGCATCTAATGCACTCTTTTGTTGCTTAAGGTTCATGGTCTTTGGCTGCTGTCGATATCAGCTTCTTTAGCAGCTTAGGCTTATTAAGCCACAAGGCGAGCTTTTGGTCAGTGATATCGCTTTACTAGTTCTTAGCTAGCAGGCGACGATGCTTATCCAGTTTCAGCAAAGATCGTATCGTATTCTCTGTCACGGTTGACACTGTCGCAGAATTAGACCCGACTAGCAATACCTCCTTGACTCATTGTTTAGCCAATTGCTTTACGTGGTGATGCTGCTAAGCTCTGATATTGGTAAGGGGGTAGATTACTTGTAAGTTGAACGATTCTCGACCATTTGCATTTTAGGCTGTTCTTGTGGGCGTAATCTTTATTTCTTTCCGGCATGGCTGTTTTGAACTTGTCGCTCTAGCTCGTCCTTCTCGCTCTGATATATTTATATTGTTTTTCCCTTGAGTCTAACTTCTTTCTGTTATGCAAAGCTTTGGCAGTTAAGTC